ATCCGTGGATGTTTGAACTTTCTTCGTTCACTATTCGAGTTTTAAGTGAGACAGTGGCGGTAATCAACCTCTTAGTAAACCATCATAGTTAGTGGAATATATACGACTCATCATCCTGCTAGAAAGAGGCCAAGTCGACCCAGGATCTCCAATTATCAGAAGAGATGAGAAATACTGAGCTCAATCAGCTTTAGACGTACCGGAGTGAGAATACTGACACATAGGGAGCAGTAAGAGTGTTCATTTCCTTGGTTTTTGTTCCAGGCTATTAGTTGAGACGGGGCTGCGCTTTGTTGTGTTGTTGCAAACAACCCTCCAGCGACCAGCCATGACGACAAGACATCTCGCAAGAGTACAGAATCCAACTCAATTGAACCTCTTGTGCTCTAAGGCGGTGCTCAAAGTGCTGTAAAGAATTCTGGTGCGCTCAGGTTAGGCCCATTGCTGCCCAAAGTTTCCCAATTAAATCTCCTCAACTCCTCCATCATACTGCCTTGAGGGAGGTTAAAATTGCTGTGAAAAACTGCCCAACCTGGAGGCTCAAGGACGCTAGAGACGCGTAGACACTTGGCTCCAATCGCATACGAGCAAGGTCAATCGACTCCGCCCAAGGCGTGAGGCAGAATCGACTTGGGACCAATCACTAGCATAACCTTGACGTGCAATATTTCTCTGCGAGGAATTTCACGCCCTTGCAGCAGGTCTAAATAGCATCGATTTTTAAGTGGTGGAGGAGTAGCAAAATAGCAGATGCTAGGATACTTAGTTAGACTTGAAGAAACTGGAAGCAGGAACGATAATAGAAGATGCTGAGCATCCTTCAAGAATATGGAACCCAGCTCGGTTCCATCTCTCACGGCCTCGAGGACGTTAAAAATACTGTAAAGAAACTCTTCTTGCCCAAAATCCGAAAAGTACTTTGTTCCCACTTAGCCCCTCCTGTCCTCCATAATATGAACTTAGGTAGAGTTAAAATTGCTGTGAAACCAGATTGTCGCCGTTGGCCCAAAGATCCCTCTAAACTCCCATGGCCTCGAGGTTGTTTAAAAATGCTGTGAAGAGCTCAAGCTGGCTAAAATCCCAAAAGTGCCTGCCCAATTGAGCCTCTTTGTGATCCTCCAGGATTTATCACCTTGGGGGAGGCTAAAGTTGCAATGAAACCCCGGCCGCCTATGCTTCGAGTTCGTATAATTTCGAGGTAAGCGCTAAAAGAGAAATTCTACTGGCCCGTCTCGCTAGAATCCTTTGCCAAGCCAAGTCAATTCATCTCTCCAGGAATGGGAGAGAGTTAAAAATGCTGTGAAAATATCGATCGTGTCGGACCAAGCCCAAGAGAATTCAAGACGAAGCTGCTTCGTGTGGGGGGTTTATTACACAGTGAAGTTCTAATGCTTCACATTATTCCTATCAATTTGATTTGATTCCAAGAGATTTGATGAACGAAAGTCGATTTTTTCTAGTGTTGTGTAAACTCTCTCGGGTAGCTATGGCCTTGTAGTCTTCGCCTCCCAGATCTCTCTTCACTCGTTCCTTTTCACTAACTTTAGGCCACTTCATTGACAAGTCATTCAGTCAGTTCTTCATCTATGTTCATAACTATTTCTCATCTAGCAATATATTATTGTACTTCATTGTAACCATCATATTCGTAGTTCAGCAAATAAATCAGCCCTTTCTAGCCATCTTGATCGAGTCAGCGCCCGTCTCAACGACTCTGAATCCATCCGCATCGCCATCTCCCCTGGCAGCCCTCGCAAATGCCTCCTCACTCCTATCACAAATAGTCTCTAGATCTTGATCGCTCAAGATATCGTCTCCTCCCGATGCTTCGTACACTTCGCCGTCTTTGAGCAGTAAAGCTCGTAACGTATCAGGATCTAAATCCTCTTCCTTTTCGTTGAGCTTTTGACCCATTGTCTTGAATCCGCCCTTGCGGATAACGAGCTTTTCCAGTCGTCGCTTGGCGTCAGCGGAAAGCAACAGGGATTCCTCCACCGTTCCCTTCGTGGCGAGACGATACACTAGCACTGGGCGGGTTTGGCCAATACGATGCGCGCGGTCCTGAGCCTGCAAATCCTGTTGAGGGTTAAAGTCGCTGTCAAAGAGAATGACAGTGTCCGCAGAGGCCAGATTGATTCCCTGACCACCTGCACGAGTAGATAGCAGAAAGATCTTGTATGCTGGGTCTTCGTTGAAAAGCTTGATGCTCTCACGTCTGTCCGCTTGAGCAATGCTGCCATCAATGCGGCAGACTTTCCAGCCACGTAGTTCTCTGCAATAATCCTCCAAAATGTCTAGCTGTGTAGTAAACTGCGAAAATATGAGCACCTTGTGGTCATCAATGAAAAGATGCTTCAACAGTCGATCGAGAAGAAGCATCTTTCCAGAAGCTGTGACAATACTCTCATCCACTGGAATATCTGTAGCAACAGCCCACGGATTGTAAAAATTGTGTGGCGTATTGCAAACCAGCCGGAGCTGGGCCAGGGGGTTGCCCAGCTTCTTGCGTGAAATCTGCTTTTCTGCGGAGATATTAGCATCTAAGTAATCTGAACGTAGAGGGAAATAAGAGAAAACATACTGGCCATATCGAGAGTCTGCGCTCGTTCCAGTTCCTCAGCAGACATTGGTTCTGAACTCTTATCATCGTCCTCTTCGTTGACCATTTCATTGGCCAACTTTGCTTCAAATTCATCATCAGACATTTTCTCCTCATCAGAATCGGCCTCCTTGTATGAACGGGCTTGGCGACGGCTGCGGACGCTTAATGGAGTCGATTGTCGACTAGACTTTGCGCTTTTGGTCTCTGATACAACAGATGTCGGAGGACTCTTCCGCTTCGACTTTTGGTTTGTGGGTGTTGAAACGGGGTCAGGCTTTGCATTCTTAGGCGGTCGCCCTGGACCCCGTTTACCCATCATAAGGCTAAACGCGTTTGGAGCCGGCGATTTTGACCGTTCTTCGACCTTTGTGCCTCTAGCTTTTTGTCGAACGGGTAGAGAAGCTGCCTTGTCGTCCTTTTCCGCCTTTGTTGTCGCTCTTGTTCGGGAAGAAGATCGAGTAGAAGCCCGGGATGCCGTCTTGCTGCGAATTATCTCCACAGCTTTATCTTCGAGGTATGATCGAGTGTCCATGTTTTTGTTAGAAATGACATTATACAAGTCCGTCTGCTCCTTTGTCATTGGAGCAAACAGAACATACTCTCTCTTTTTGGGCAGATAAGCGGCGACGTCTTGCTTGATACGGCGAAGTAGAAGCGGCTGCAAAATGAGATGGATTTTCTTAACCAAATCTTGCTTCATTTGGTCCTCAATGAACTGCTGAGTCCCTTTCTCATCTTCCAACTCAGAAAAGTCGAACCAAGATTCAAAGGCCTCCCAGTCGGTGAAGATGTTTGGCAACAAAAAGTGAAGTAGTGACCAAAGTTCTTTCAGATTGTTCTGGAGCGGTGTACCGGTGATCAGAAGGCGAGTAGCAGATGAAAACTGTCGCAGTTGCTGGAATAACTTTGCGTCGGCATTCTTCATACGGTGACCCTCGTCCTGTTTGAGAGTGCGTTAGCAAGCGATTCAAGGAATTGAAGTAGAGGCCAAGACGCTTACGATGATGATGAACTCCCATTTGATCCGGGATAGGTTATGGTGGTCATTGATGACCATCTCGTAGGATGTACAAACGACGGGAAACTTATTGGTGGGGCGACCAGACTTGAGATGGCTCATAATCTTCTTGTGAAAGATTTCTTCTCGCTGGGCCTTGTTGCCATGATACATCTCAATCGGAATAGATGGCACCCATTTGTGGAACTCGTCAATCCAATTTGATAGCGTGCTCAGGGGCGCCACTATGAGATGAGGCCCAAGATACTGTTCTTGTTCTCGTAAAAGTGCAATCAGTGAGATGGTTTGGATCGTTTTGCCTATGAAAAGTTAGAACGCAGTTAGATGAGAAGGATGAGAAGAGAAAGGCTTCACTAACCCAGACCCATCTCGTCAGCCAGAATGCCGCTCATACCCTGTGAGCAAATCTCATACATCCAAGTAAGTCCTTCAAGCTGGTACTCGCGCATCGTACCACCAACCATGCACTTTGGCTGTGCAGCCATCTGCAGGTTGTGCTCACCAAGCTTCTTTCCATCTAAACTACTACCAACACGACCAAGGACTTGTGTCTTCTTGGTAAGAATATCGCTAAAAGCGGCACTCTTCTGTAGCAGCTCGTCCAGCTCACGCGCCTTAGCTTCTCGCTCTGCCTTGGTCTCGGCCTTCTTCTTTCTTCGCTGTTTAAGAAGATTGGCGCGTCTTTTCTCTTCCACAGCGGTGTTGGCGAGCCGCGCTTTAGCCTCTTCCTTGATGATATCCTCATCAACGAGGCCTACATCTTCCTGATCGTCAAAAGGGTCGGTAGGCGGAGTGCTAGGTGCGGTGGTTGGTGGTGTCCGTGAATTCGACATGATTGATTCAACCTCCGAAGCCGAGGTATTGGCCATGATGATAATCGTAACAGAAAATAACCTTCAAAACAAGAAACACGCAAACAAGTTATGTCGTCCAGTAAATCAAGGCCAATATTCTCCGATGCAGCCGAGTGGCCAAGAATTCACAAGTCACACAAGAAGAGAGGCGCGTGAAAAATTCCCAGAGAAAGCAAGTGAAATGCACTAATGCAGGAACCAAGAGGAATGTGATACAAAAGTGAAGTGTTGCACTGCGAAAAAGAGCCAATTGCAGCGAATCCAAGCTGCATTCACCTTTTCCTCGGATCCAAGGGAAGCAAATCGTGAAGAGAGCTGAACTGCAGCGTGACGTAGAGAAACGCGAAATGGCAACGCCGTCACGTGTCTCTCCCTTCTTTTCTTGTGTTGCGCGTAAAGTGTCCGATCGCCAGCATTTTGGCGGCAAGCCACGCTTCTAGCTGGATCGTGGCTGGTGAGAGGCGCCTCCGCCACAAGACCCGAAATCTGCCCCTCCATCCCACCATGATTCGACCCCGCCACCAAAAAATTGTCCATCTCAGAGTCACTCACCCCAAAGCTCACACTCACACTCACATAGACAACAGAAGCCAGCATCCAAGGCTTCATCTTCACCACTAGCAAATCTGTTTCTGCGTCGAGTCATTCGCTCATTCCCGAGCATCTCAGCCCATTCGTCTTATCGCAGCCCAGTCTCCTATCTTTCCATCAGGATGGCAGCCCTCAGCTCTCAAAAGTACTCTGCCACTGAGGAGGCCGAGATCCAGCAATGGCTCACCACCTCGGAACGCCTCAAGTCCGCCGACAACAAGTCTGAGATTCTCGAGACTCTCAACGGCCATCTGTCTAGCCGCACCACTCTTCTCGGCAGCAAGCCCAGCAAGGCTGATGTCGCCATCTATGAGACTCTTGCTCCTCTTGTCGCCAAGTGGACTCCCGAGGAGCGTACCGGCGAGAAGGGCCTTCCTCACATTGTCCGCCACATTGACTTTGTCCAGAACGCCGCCGTCTTTGGCCTGGAGCTAAAGGACGACCAGAAGGTCAAGGTTAACCAGGAGGAGGTCCTGTACGTCAAGCCTCCCGTTGACGCCAAGGCCGAAAAGGAGCGCCTCAAGAAGGAGAAGGCTGCTGCTGCTGCTGCTGGAGGCCAGGCTACTCTCGCCGACCGCACCAAGGAAAAGGCAAAGGAGGTCAAGGAGAAGGCCAAGGAGGTCGTTGCTGAGGCCAAGGGCACTGCCGCCGCCGCCGCCGGAGGTGACAAGCCTAAGAAGGAGAAGAAGGAGAAGGCTCCCAAGCCCCAAAAGGCTCCCGCTGCTGCCGCTCCTCTTTCTCCCAGCCTGATCGATCTCCGTGTCGGCCACATCCTGAAGGCCATCAACCACCCCGATGCCGACTCTCTCTTCGTTTCCACCATTGCCATGGGTGATCCCGCTGGCGAGGACACCACCGAGTACGAGGGCCAGATCTGCCGTACCGTCTGCTCCGGTCTCAACGGCCTTGTTCCCCTCGAGGAGATGCAGGGCCGCAAGGTCGTTGTCGTGGCCAACCTGAAGCCTGTCAAGATGCGAGGTATCAAGTCTTGCGCCATGGTCCTCGCCGCCTCTCCCAAGGTCAAGGAGGGCGAAGCCGACGACCACAAGGGCCCCGTCGAGCTGGTTACTCCTCCTGAGGGTGCCAAGGCTGGTGAGCGTGTCTACTTTGAAGGATGGAAGGGTGAGCCTGAGGGTGTTTTGAACCCCAAGAAGAAGATTTGGGAGACTTTCCAGCCCGGCTTCACCACCACTGATAACCTTGAGGCTGCATTTGACGCTAGTGTCGTTGAGGTTCTTGGCAAGACTGGCGTTGGTAAGTTGGTGACTGAGAGCGGCGGTGTTTGCACAGTCAAGTCCCTGGCGAATGCTACCGTCAGGTAAACAGACAAATATTATACATAGACCAAGTGAAAAGACTCTTGACGACACATGAAACTATTTTACACGATTCAAAGTTCTTTACGTGAAATCGACTTTGTCTGATAGTTTGATTGTTTTTTACATAATTTTTTATCATGGCTTGGCCATGACCGTGGAGTGCTGCATTGATGTACAGCTGACCAACCACCATTTCGGTGTCGTCAATCAATTCCCCCATCTGGAATCCTAATATACATTGCTTGTATACAAAATCGCTGAAAAATGCCCCCAAGTTCTTCAAACTCCAGTGCTGAATAAACGAAAACGCCATATAGATGCACAAGATTTTCAACGCCAAACCAAACCCCCTAACCCTCTCCATTTTCCGATTCTCCTTTTTTTTATATCCGTTATGAATCATACATGGTCATAGCAATAGACGCAAAGTATATACGCCGCACTGTCTTTGTCCTTCTATGAGAAGAAATACTTGCTCTCTCTCAAGCGCTTCACGTCGAAATCGCCCTTCTCAGGAACCTTCGGGATAGTAAGCGGCAGCCAAACAGGAAGCGGTGTCTTCTTCTGCTTCTTGACCGGAGCCACACTCTTCTGCCCCGTAATCTGGGTTTCAAAGAAGGACGACTCCATGTCTTTCATGAGTCGCTCAGCCAGCTCCGCAGCTTGAGAGGAGTCTCCGGTTTGGGCCTCAATCTCCTCTGCACTGACGCTGGGGGCTTCATCTTCCGGGATGGCACCAAGTCCAATATCCTTGGCGTCCTCTTGGATGTCCATGTCGACTTCGGCAGCCATCATGTCCTCATACACAGACGCGGGGGTGACGATTTGCTTGGCAGCTTCGAGGTCCCAAGGGTTCCCGGAGAGTTTCAGCTGGTTGCGCTTATGCTCAAGGAGAAGTTCTTCCTTGGGAGACAGCTTGCTCTTCTTGCGTAGTTCTTTGATTTTTTGAGCGACCGGGGTATCGGGGTCAATCTTTGCAAGATAGATAGACCCCTGGTGACGGGCCTCAAACTCGGCGCCCAAGCGGCCAACGACATCCTCTTCGTGGATTCGGATAAAGGCATCTCGCAAGACTTCATTCATAACATCGAGATCTGCAGCATGTGTCCAGAATGAATCGTGGACAGCAGCAAAGTCGAGTCCTCGAGCATCACATTCCAGCGCCGACAACAACATGTGACTGGCATCTAGAGAGTGGATGAAGTTGGGAGGGAATCCTTGGAGCTGTTTCCTCCTGTTGACGGGATCCGTCTGATCGCTCAAAGGGTAGATGACAGCTTGAAGACAAGTCTTGATTTCGCGTGCAGTAGTCTTGCGATAAGGCTGAACGACAGGCATTCGAAGTGGCGTTGTCCAAACAACGGATGAACGAAACTGCTGAATAAGATCGTCGAATTCGCCCTTCTTTCCAGCAGGTGTCTTTTTCTTGGTTTTGCTAGCGCGAGAAGCGCCATCCTCGCCCTCGCTGTACGAGTCGACAATTTGTTGTAGCTGAGCTGGAGTCAGCGCTCGGCACACACGCCCACCAATCTCTCCAAGCCAATACTGGATGTCGTGGGCACCCCTGAACATGGTGGCAAGAGCTTGGAAGACTTGCTTCGCAATATAAGTAGACAAGAGAATGTTGGAAATGCCGCATTCTTTGCCCAGATTAGGATACAAGGCGTCGATTTGCTTGCAGATTTGCTTCTTGGCTCCAGCAAAGGTAACACCGTAGACGTTCGTCATCACAGTCTGCTTAACCACTTTGCGGGTTATCTTTCCATGAAGCGCCAGTGCAAACTTGTTCTCCTTTTCCATATCTTTAGCGATGGCCTCCTTGACCAGGTTGGCGACTGCAGAGTACACATCGGCAGGCCTCTCTCCAGGCTCCAAATTAACCTGCTTCGCTCCCCATGTGTCACCACCGAGAGCTGCGTAGTGTTGGAGTCCGTTACAAGTACCATCCTGGTGAACCGGTAGATGTGATATAAACTTTGTGGGGTCAGGAAGCTCAAGGGCGGCCTTGAGTTCAAAGCACGCGGAGAGACACTGCCACGGGTCTTCACCCTTGAGCCACCATCTACTGCCTGCCAAGGGATTGGTCGCGGAGTCAATAATGTTTTCCACGTTGTCATTCGCAAAGGCTTCACGTTCATCAAAGCTGGCCTTGTCAAGGCCGTACACGTTAGCCAAATGAATTTTCAGCCACCGCAGACCCCGCACTCCCAACTCTTTGCCTTTGGCGAATTTCAAAATGGCTCGCGCATGATCAGCACCCATGTGGTTGAGATACGTTGGCATAGGATAAGCTCTTCCTCGGTAGTCGACATTGTGTGGGAAATATATCGTCTGGTTACGGAAGGCTCGTGCAATCTCCAGTTGCAGATTCATAAAACATCTCTGGGAGTGTAAGCCTGATCGCTCGTTCTCGATGGCTTTAACTTGTCGAATCCATTTGCCCCGGACAAGGGGGTCTGCTGAAGCATCCGGCTCTGTTGGGGTTTCCAAGTTTGGGTGGAGAGGGGGTATGTCGGCAATCTCTTCGCCACTGTTCCACGCCTCCATCATAACATTCAAGGTATCCTTATTAATGATCCATGCTGTTTTACCCAAGATATCCAGGCCTTTGAACACCTGCGTCATATCTCCACGCTTTATCGCCGCGTTGCTGTACAACTTTTGCTCGACGTCTCCAGGCTTCACTCGGACAAGGCTAGTTTTGCTGTCCAAAAATCCGCCTTCACTGAAGGACGACCAAGGCTTGGGTTCAACAACCATGGGGAGATGCTTGGCAATGAAATCACCCATTGGCTCCCGCTTTAGCTGCTCAACCAAGTGGGTGTTGAAAGTGAGAGCTCCAACCTTTTTGCCCTTTCGAAGTAGCGTTTGATGATTGAATGCTGGTTGGTATTGGCTAATCAGCTCCTTAGATGTTGAACCCTCTACCACAACGTTAATTTTGGCAGATTCGATCAACATTTGAAGGAGGATTGAGCCAACTTGGGCTTTGATTTGAATAGACCAGGGTTCCCGGCTATTTTCTTCCATGGTTTTCTGCTGCTCAGTCGCATCGAGTAGAGTCGGGTTGGCATCTTTGCTGGCAGTCTTTTTGCTTTTCTTTGATTTGTCCGCCTCGCCCACAAAGCGAAGTTTACGCTGCCGTCGAGCCTTTCTCTCGGCCAGTTCTTTCTGGTACATCTCGGTATCGTCCTGGACAGCTTTTGCGATATGCGTAATCAACCTACTGATAGGGATGCCCTTTTCAACACCAAGGACAGTTCCAAGGTTGACAACCGACAGTATCGTTACAGCTGCGAGACGTGCTGGTTCACCCTGTTGGATAAACGGACCATAGACACATCTTGTGAGATCTTTGTCAGATTTTGACTTTTTCGCTTCCGACAGCTCAATCAATCGCAGTTCTTGGTGGATGCGGCTCTCCATGGCGCTCATCCAGGACGCCATGTTTTGTGACATGGAGCCTTCTCTGGAAGAGGGCGATAAAGCGGTGGTGACGCCTCGTTTCTGTAGATTCTTATTGTCGAGACGCCATTTCTCAATCGCCGAACCAATTGAGTCTCTTTCCAGCTGAAGTTGAATGTCCACTCTGTCGGAATATGGTAGCTTGGAAATGTCCACATCCTGTAGCCCCAGCAAGAGTCCAAGGCCTTTCTTCAGGGTGTTGAGGCCTTCTCCTCGCTGCGGGGTTGGAATGAGCTCCGGAACACTTTCAAAGGTTTTTGCCTCGCCAAGTTCAGTATCAAGGGTAGGAGAAGCCTGTGCCTCGTCGTACTTTTCCGGCGTCAGAGTTGAGTCTTCCAAGTCACCTTCGTCGGCCGCAAAGTTGTACGTTGGGCAGATTTCGGTAATGACGGCAAGGTCTTGATCACTTAGAATTTCATCCATGCTAAGAACTCGTAACCCAGCTTCGTCGGGCGCCATTCCCATGTATCGCTTTACCAGACGGTCCAATCTAGCGCCTCGCTCAGAAAGTAGAGATGCCTTGAGCATACAGGCAATTGTTTCGGCCGTGTGCGGCAAATTCTTGCTTCTTATTTGTAGCTCGTACCACTGGTGGAGCTGCTCGGCTTGCTTTCGATCGGGCTTGGTGCGCATTTGTTGGAGAGATGCTCGGAGATACCTGTTGTTGAGAATGATTCGCTCTTCGTCAGATGTAGTTCCAGCGGCGCCAAGACGCTTCAACACCAGTGCTGCTCTCTCCAGTTTTCCCACTTTGATGCATGCGTCAAATACCATGAGCATGTCTTCAGGTTCGCCGGGAATGCCGTAGGTGTTCATTTTTGTCTGAGGCCTTGCAGGCCCCGGCTCAGGTATAGTCAAAGGTGATGCCGGGTTGAAGGCGTGAATCTCAAATGGTGATGTCGGTGCCTGGAAAGGTGGTATTGACGAGTTTGAGAGGTGGTTATATGGCATTCCTTCAACCTTGAAGTCATCCACAGCTGTAGCAAGCGTTCGCTCGTGTGAGCCGAAGCCAAGGTCTAGCCCACGACGCCATGGCCGAAGATTCTTTGCCACGTCATTCTGTGGGCTTAACGTAGATATGCAAGCCTGAAGAGAGGGGAGTCGTGAAGAGGTTCTAATTGACTTGAATGCAGCGGCATGGTGAATAGAGGCGCTGCGGCCCGCATGCCTCGACAGCATCTTGAGATGCAGATATCAATCGACCCGCCAATGAAGACGGTCGAGATATACACACGCAAAAAGAGAAATTGAGACAGAAACAGTAAATACAAAATGTGAAAAGAAAAAAATACAAGAGTGGTGCTGGTCAGGAACAAAAAGTTCCGCCAGTATCGAGATTACTGGTGGTGCAAGAGAGAACTTTCATCATGCGGGACCGCACACAGAAGCTCGTCCAAAAGTTTTTCTCTCGTACCATCGACGCCACACTTGATTGGTTGGATTGGGCAAAGTGTCACGTGGAGGCAGCAATTGATAGCGGCAGCCCCACCAACGCCACTGCGGGAGCTTTTCTGTAGAGCCAAAGGCGCTGCCAGATGTGGAAATTTCACTTGTGCTGTGCAGCATCAGCATCATCCACGATAGCGCTGGGCAAAGGCAGCAGAGATGATTTCGCGCCCGGTGGCTGCGACTTTGGGGTGCTGCGGATGCCGAGGAGCGATTCTGAGGGCCGTTGCGTCCAGGCCACTGGCAGGCATTGGACAATCGGCATCGCGGGGAATCAGACCGGCGGCAAGCTCAGGACTACGAAGTTTTCCTCCAAGCCAGCAATTTAGCACTACTGCGCAAAAAGACAAAGACACGAAGCCAACGATTGAACAACGAAATACCGAAGATGATATTGGAGATGAGATTATCGATAGCGACGAGTCCGCGGATACACCATGGTTTCTAGATGTCCAGCCGCCGCGACATGCGCCGCTGCAGCACATTGCGTCGCTACCCAAAGTACCCGAAGATGCGCCTCATTTCCTCGAGCCGATGATGAAATACATATACGAAGATATGGGTCTGGACGAGTTATCAATGCTGGATCTCCGCGACCTCGATCCGCCAGCTGCACTCGGCCCCAATCTCATCATGATTTTTGGAACGGCGCGAAGTGAGAGGCACTTGCACATTTCAGCAGGTCGCTTTGTACGATGGCTGCGGCGAAACTACCAAGTTGGTGCTCGGGCAGATGGGCTAATTGGACCGGGAGAACTCAAGACAAAGCTGCGCAGACTAAGGAAAAAGGCAAAGATGCTGGGGAGCAACACCATGATTTTGCCTGGTTCGGATAATGGAATATCGACGGGCTGGGTCTGCGTCAATTTCATGGCGCATGAGAACGGAGTACAAGAAGCTTCCAGTTACGACGAGAGTGGTCGATTTTCAGGATTTGGTACACCGACGACGGGAACAACCGTGGTTGTGCAATGCATGACGGAATCGAGGCGAAACGAACTTGATTTGGAAACTCTCTGGAGAGGCATCCTCAAACGAAACCTTGAAGAAATGCAAAAGGTGAAGGGAAAGACGCCGCTAAATCCCTTGGAGCTGGAATCTTTGGTCACTTCAAAAATTCAGATGCCCGACACCCCTTCTGCTCATCAGTGGCAAGCCCTTAAGCTGGCTTCTCAACAGCAGCGCCAGTTCTCGACCATGGCTCGACGTCTTCAAGCTCGTACTCAGAGCAGTGAATCTAGAGCGACTTCAGTGAATGACGAAACTCTAGCAACAGGAGATGAGCTTGGTAGCCCTTCGTTTGATCTGAGTGCACTGCGGCAACACATCCATGACTTTCAAGTGGCCGGAAGCCCCGTGAGTCGCGAAACTTTGCAAAGCCTCGTTTCTGCAGTATTTCGGGCTGAGCTAACAGAAGAAAACACTGCGTCAGAACGACTTGCTTTGGTAGATCAGCTCAATCTCGTGGCGGAGGAGCGTGGACTCTCGGTCATGTCCAAAGACTGGCTAATCACTCTCATTGAATCCATCGCCATGTCTCCGGCATATGGACCGGAGCTGCAGCGGGCACAGAAGAATGTGGAGTTTCTCCTGTCCACCAGGCAAAAGTCTGCGTTGAAAAATAGCGAGATCCTGCGACTCATGGCGGCGTACGCGCACCGATCAGAGTGGGAGAAGTTTTGGGACGCATTCCGCTCACCTGCTCGATTTCAATTGCCTCGGTCGCCAGAGCTGTATGAGTTTGCTTACCGCGTTCTAGCAGCTACTGGAGATCGGAAGTTGTGCACTGATGCTCTGCGTTGGGTGTATCCCGAAATGCTCAAAGAAGAGCCCAAGGTATGGCCTATTGGGCCGCTATACGTGTCATTGAAGGCGTGTATTCTTGTTGCAGATCCTGCCGCCGAGAGCCTTCTGCATCACCCTCCGCCTCAAGATTCGCTTGACCTTTTTGGCCAGCGGCAATTGGTGCATAGGGAATTCTTGCGCGTTTTGCGAGAGGTTGAGAATTTGCGACACCATCATGCTGGAGAACAGGCGAGAGAACAGAGGGCACAGACACTTCGCAAGTTGTCGGGACAGATGCCGTCCAATCAAAATTAGCATGGCTGGAAATCTATAAAAAGATGTAGATGTATCTATTTGATGAGCATTGGCAAATCTGGGATTGGGCAAAGGGATGAAATCATGTATAAAAGACGCCGCTCCAAAGGGGCTTATGACTGTATTACTTTGCGTTCCCAACAAGGCCTCTCATATTTTATGTAACATAGTTTGTTTGTATAAATTAGACAATCATAAATGGCGTATAAACAGCCAATCTCTTTTCTTTCGCTTTCTACAATAGCAGCAATTCTATAGCTGTGACTGAGACGTTCCATTCACAGTCTTGAGGGCATCTCGAAGCAGCGGCGCAACCTGCTTCCTGCTCGCAGACAAGTCTTTCTGCCTCCATGCCTTTCTCTTCCCATCATCACCATCCAACAACCCATCCTTCCATTGCTCCAACTTCAAATTCTTTGCAACACTAGGGAAATTCCTCGCCGCTTCGACGCCCCTGTCTGTAATTCCCCACACAAGGAGGTGACGCTGGAATTCTCCACCAGGATCCGACGTGGTCATGACACTGGCGACGTCAAGCTTCCTTTCCTTAGCCCAAGAAGCAAGTTCAATGATGAAGACGTCGGGCTTGTTAGCCTTTTCAAGTAAGTAATCGAAATTTTGGACAACGCAGCTAATACCCAGCTTGAGACCTGCTTCTTCCCACTCCTTGTAGTCCTTGCGGAAGATGTCTTGAAAACTAAGCTTCGAGATATCCTCTTTGACGGCGGTGATTTCTTTGAAGAATTTGGTTTGGTGGAAATGGTTATGATGATGGACTTTTGTGTGCAGATATTCTGCGGCGAGGATGTCCTTTGGTTTGACCTTGTGCTCCTCCTTTAAATCTAGAGTATCGATGACAATGGGTGCCAAAGCGAGTTTAGCCAGGTTATCGTCCTCGACAGCGGCATCTTCAGATTCTAGCGGAGCAAAGGCGTCCCATGCTGCACGGGATTCTTCGATGATGAGGCTCATGCAACTTCCGCAGGGCTCGACAATGCGTGGCTTAACGTCTGGGCTGGTGACGTTCTCGTCAACGTGGTGGTCGATGCAGCCGATGACTCGGGACTGGAATTTCTTCAGGTCGCCTGTCAAAGCATTGTGGTCTACCAGAAACCACTCTGTATCTTCAGGTTTGAGATCGGGAAGTTCAGATAGCGTGAGGATGTCTGTAGGGGCCAATCCAGCTTGCTGCAGGACGGCGGTCATCTCAGTTCGTAGAACAAGATCAGACCGGGGAATGTTTGAGAGGGGGATGTGTAGAGTGTGAGGAGATGTATTGGAGCGGATATACGCCAACACTACGGCTGAGCATAGTGAATCGAGGTCTTTAAATACGCTAGTCAGAGGCTATAGTTGAAGCAATTGTGGTGATGTGAGATGACACACCTGCAGACTCATTGCCAATCACCAAGGTGAGAGGACTTGATCTTTGGGCTGGGGGAGCTGTGAGAGCAGATCGGGCAGCGGCCAAGAAGCCCTTGAGAGGTAGTCTAGGTGGCATCTTTATAGTGCAGTTTAGTAGTTGTTGAAATAGTGATCTATACTGCTTCGACTTGAGATAAACTAAAGTCTACAATTGCAAGGCTGAGCGTATGGCGGGGCATTCGCCTAGAGCTCTTATCGCGATATCAACCCCTCCATTTTTTTTTTTTTCTTTTTTTACATGCCGTGCAGCAGTCATAGAATGATTTGAGAGAATTTGCCCCTCCCAACGTCATTCAATTGCTTACTAGGTACATGTAGTATTTACCTCCAATCCACCTACTACCTATAACGTGTACCGGATATAAAGCATTGGAAAGCTTCAACTACCTACTAATGTATATAAGCAGAGCAGTGCAGACATTCCGAGAGCATGAGATGAGAGCTTAGACAGGGCTTTTCCACTGGTCCGCCTGGATCTTGAGAAGAGGCTTCAACGCCGCTGGCTGGATACGCTCCCACAACGAGCCTGTCCCTGCTTCTCGGCTCTTGTGGTCCTGCAACGTGAACCATTCCTCCACGGTACGGATGCGATGGGGGTGGATTCTGTCTAGCAGTGCATAGTCGCGCTGAACAACACCAATGTTCCCCCCCGAGTGCCGCCAGGTCGTCCAGTAGCCGTCAAAATTCTGCTTCATGGTCATGGTTGCGGGATCAGAGACATCGGTGCCATAGCCCGCGGCATTTTCTTGACGATGCTTGAATGGGCCCTCCTTCCACCACGTATCCAAATCGACGTCGACGAAGCGGGCCTTCTTGCCCGTCACCTTGTTGAATGCTGTGGCAAACTCCTCATACCGGATGTGGGATATGGACGTTTCGAGATTCATTCCGTCAGCTTCGTTGTAGTTGTCAAACAGCCACAGCACGTAGTGCCCGCAATCGTCCAGGGCGACGTGTGGACAGGCACCGTCGCCAAGCGGCGCTCTCCATGTGACAACGGCTTCTCCAGCCTCGTCCGTTTCAATATTAGGTGTGATCACAGTGCCCGGCGAGAGCATCATGTCGATGTAGGGTCCGGTGGTGAAGAGCGCAATCTTCATGTTATCCTGCGAGTTGAACATCTTTAGACTGGGGCTGTGAGAGAGAATCCAGTCTCCCACCCTGCCCTTGCCATCGTAGTGGCCAGTGCGAAACTCAGGTCGGTATCCCGACTTCTTGTACGTATAATCCAAGTTCCCGTAGACAAAAAACTTGATGGTTTTGGATTCGAGGGCAAGTTCAAAAGCTCGAATAGCCCAAAAGGTCTCTCCCTTTTCGCCCACATTGAAGCCATCGATGTTAACGAAAGCACCGTCGCACGTACTGTAGAGGCTGCGTAGTAATCTCTCATCGGTAAACGATCCCTTGACGAGCTCCACGCCGGGAAGCGTAGCTAGGTATTTGGCAGGCTCACTGTCGAGCACTCTTGTGAGGACGCAGCATTGGTACTTGCCCTCGCCCGTTAAACCTTCTATAACCGCCCGGCCCTGCGCTCCCGTGCCGCCAATAACGAAAATTCTGGTAAGGCTCATGGTAATATTGAAGATGGAATATCAGCTTCTATTAACTTATGAATCGGGGATAGCAATGGTCAGACATTTGATAATATATGTATAAGTAGTCTACCTCATACATCTGATACTAATTTGTAGTAGTAAATGGTTGTCAAAAACAAACAAGTGCATTCTATCATTTACATTAGAAATCCAGTCACACTCCCACGGGTCATCAAGTGGGATTTGTCACATCTATACGTTGATATCAACTATCCGTCATGTCACCGTCCAACTATGGTATTCCTGGGTGGTTGGACTAAAAACTTAGGCGTAATTGGGTGATTGGTTTGCGCTCCACATAGATTACAGCTGAATCAAGTCTCCCACTTTGATTAGTCGTATTAGTTTAAACTTAACATCATGTCAGCAGATTGGTAATAAGCTTACTTCATACACCTTCGGAGGTTTACGTGGACGGTATCGGATATCATAAGCACTCTGCAACAGCGAATGCAACTACAAGGCTAATTGCAAAAATCACTACAAGCATGTCTCGTAGAAAAAAAAAAATTCGCAAATAAAATCTTATGATACCTACTTATAGGCTGTATCCAGACAATACTAAAGCATACCTAGTACCCCAGACTAGCCCAGAAACCTTACACTGCTTTCAAAATGTCACAGGTCAAGGTGTTGCTGACTGGAGCATCCGGTTATATGTAAGTGGCTGGGTGCATGTATCATGATGTTCAGATACACGCTAAACAACAGCAGTGGTGGCTCTGTGCTTCAAGTTTTGTTGGACGACTTCGGAAAGGATATTGCTATCTCGGCACTCGTACGGTCGATAGCGAGTCGCGACGGAGTCTGGGAGTTGGGGGCCACTCCAATTCATTTTGATGGGCTACATGATATCGAGACAATAAAAAAGGTCGCATCAGAACATGATGGTGAGTTACTCTATATACAATGCTCATATGTACATGTATTGTAGCTTGTGTATCCGCTAATAGAAATTGCAATCCACGCTTGCAGTTGTCATTAGCTGCGCATCATCCCTTGACGAGCCGTCTTGCTTAGCTTTGATTGAGGGACTCGGAATCCGGAAACAGACTACTGAAAAGGATGTGTTGTATATCCACGTAAGTTTTCTACTCCAGAATCCACTTATTCAGTACTAACAGCAGGTAGACCTCTGGTACTTCAAATTTTGGAGACCACCCTATTACCCAGCCAGAATCAAAAGACATAAAGATTCGAACGGACAAAGATGACAACTACGGATGGGAAAAAGAACACTCTGAGGCGTGGATCACACGGAAGGTCGATGTTACCATCACCGATGCTGGAGAACGCCTAGGCGTCAACACAGTCATCGTAAACCCGCCACTCATTTGTACGCTCCCCTAAATACAACACCCACATTTATTCGTCTTGATAGGACGGCTAATCATGAACAGATGGCCAAGGAACTGGATTTGGCAATCGAAGATCAATCCAAATACCTGCACTAGTTGGCGTCTCTCTCCACGAGAAAGAGGCCGTTGTGCTAGGCAGTGGCGAAGGTGTACGTTTCTTTCGCAATCACCGAGAGCAGGTCTTATCAGTAGGGCAATTGCTAATGATGTCTCTTAGCTTTGGAATGTCGCTCACATTTCAGACGTCGCTGAATTTTACTCCCTTATTTTAAAGAGATATATTGAAAGGAAGCCTATTCAGTATGGAAAAAATGGTTATTATTTTCTTGAAAATGGCGAAACTTCATGGCTAGGGATTTCGAAGCGCATTGGTGAGGTCGGGTATTCTCAGGGACTGTTGAAATCCAAGGAACCAAAAGCAATCAAGCCAGAAGACTTTGCGAAAGCACTCAACATATCATTTTTGAACCCCTATATGGCCGAAGTCATCTGGAGCTCTAAGTGCGTCAATACCCAGCCTTTTTTTCTTGGAAAAAAAAAAAAGAACTTCTAAAGCTAATGACACCCTATAGTGCTCGTATTTCTGCTGTCAAGAGCCGCGAGATTGGGTGGGAGCCTCGAATGGCCATTACGGACTTCTACAATTCCTTCGACTTGGAAGTTGAAGAGATTGTCAAGTCGGGGCCAAAGCATTAGTTATCACTGGCTTAGAATAAGAATATTTGGTACCGCGCAAGCAGTGGGGATCTTCATATTATCAGAGCTACCAGAATATGTAGATGACAATGGTAATCATATAACGTATACGCAATGTTACAAAATAGGTTTCCTTATAGTGGGAAATATGCGCATTAGCATCTAAATTTATGAGAATTCTTTTCATTATTTAGTGCTTCAAAAAGATTATTGCATAGAAATTATGATCTTCTTGCTCCCGGAAACATGTCATGCGATTGTCCCTCGGCCATTCTTTGTGTAAGATTGCTTAACTTGTAGGCTTATTATGCGAACTAGAAGAGTTGGGTCGTAAGGGAATAGTTCTAGTCGGGACTACATACGAATGTGATGAGAATAGAGTGGTAAATAACTAGTATTCACAATTGCGCAGGCCACCTTTTTTTAAACAGCCTCCATCGTACCGAATTTTGCAAGCTAGACTAGCCATTCTGAATAGCAGGATCTATAATTTGAAGCCTCAAGCACAAAGCACTCGGAAAGCTTCTATTTTAATACATATGTAGAATTATACGTCAATAGGAAGAGAGTGACATGGTTTCTCAGTGAATCCAACTTTATTTCTCAATCTTGGCTCGAAATATAATCAAAGCCATGATATGAAGTCGAGGCTATACTGTCAAATAATACATACGGAACCATATGCCCACACGTTGTGACTTATATCGTCACTGAAGATCTTCAATACCGGCAGCCAAGCTCTCCTCCAGAGACACCCAGTCTGGCTGACCGAAAAAGTCCTGTAGAATCTTCTTAGCTTTATCTCTCGGGGCGACTTGGGTGTAATCGCGGCCCTCATTCTCTGGATTGAGAGGGAATTGTCGGTTAGGGCGTAGTTTTCGCAAAATATTAAGTACATCCGTCCAATTATATTCTTGTGCAAAAGCAAATATCCGTTCTTCCTTAATTTTCGGATCAAGTAGCGCAGCCACATGGAGACGAGCAGTATCCCTTACATCGACGAAATACTCTTAGATAAAATGTTAGTTTGCTAACGTAAAAATAAGATAAATTTGGCCTCTTTTTCACTTACGAGGTGGTAGTAGGCCTATAGCAGAGAAGTCACCATGAAAAAAATTACGAACGAAGCCCATCGTTGAGCCGCGCATATGCCGGGGTACTAAAAGGGGGCCGAACTGCCACGTTATATTAGCATATCTATAAGAAGCCAAATAAGTAATTCCATGGGTGCACTTACATTGCAATTTGGCAAAACCGTATTCAGTGTAAAGCTAGGTTTATTCTCTTTAACCCAGTTCCATGCAGTACGTTCGCCCTCAGTTTTTGAAGCCGAGTATACAATATACCCTTTGGCATTCTCCGGTGCCGTGCCGCTCCATGCAAGTTCGATCACTGCATCATTCCATGTACCTAGGAGAAATCAGATTAGTTGGGCACAGGCGGAGCTGCTTTTTAATACTTACTCTCATCGATAGTGACTCCCTTCTTGTTTGTCTCAGGGATAATTGCCGCCACAGACGATGATGTAAGTACAAAACGCTTCACTGAACTTTGGCTAGCCGCCTGAAGAGCATGAATCGTGCCGTTTTTGACGGTTGGTATAACCCTGTCAGGCTCATTGGCGAAACTACCATCTGAGGCCTACACGATTTGAACGAAGTGAGCAAAATATTGCAAAGAAATCGGTTGTCTAGGCCGGGTCTCACCACATGAATAACTCCGCTTGTCCCTGCTGCGGCAAGGGCAAAAGCTTTATCATCTTCCATTGCGCGTACGACGATGCTCTCAAATCTGCCTTTGCCATATTTTTCCTCGAAAAAGCGATCTATCCAAGGCTTTTCCTCCCTAACTGTGCCACGAACTTTGAATCCTAGCTCAAGTAGTTCGTTGACAATGTGTGATGCAATGTATCCGTTGGCTCCAGTCACTAAGACCAAGCTTCCAGGAGGAATAGCGTACTCAAAAGGCCGCATATTGTCGCAGACTATGGTCAGTCTCTTTGTGGGTATTGGAGGTTTGGGCAGGAATTAGTTCTTCAACTGTCCGCTTCAACGATGACGAAGCTTGCCTAATATCATAGCTTATAGCTACAAGCAGGATATTTTATATTTAAGCATTTCAAACCCTCGTACTTGAAACAAATCACACAAATCTACTACGTTTTTTACCTATTTTTCCTCTTCTGTTCCTATTATCATTGTGATACCCCTTTGAGAGATATCTGCTTAACAACTTTTGTGACAAATATTCGTGTTATTTCCGTCCTGGAAACAGCTTTTGTAATTTCAGCTACGGCTCTTTACGTTATCTCTTGACTGTTAATTCAAGAGCTTACAGATACAATCAGCTCGGATTCTCTCTCTTCTGTACATCAATTGAAAATGATTCCAAAGACCGTGTCGCTCTTCGTAAGCTCTCTCGTTTGTCCCGTAAGGTTCGGAGTGTGTACGTAAACATGCCGATCCGCCCACATCCCGCAACCACGACAATCACGACAAATCAAGATATTGAGGTCGTTATTGAGTCCACTTTTGTCCAAAGTAGATTAGTCATACATAAATAGCAATAGCTTCTCTTCGAATACAACAAATCTTGGACAGTGTTCAGATGACCCATCAGTCTGACAATAAAGATGGGCTCACGTAAGTTCGACTGTAAATATGTAACCTATTTACAAACGCAACCGTATAATCTTGAACTGATGATGTGATAACGAATCTTTCGTAAGCGAGGACATGAACAGGCAAACAGCATAGGGATTGCCTATAGACAATTTACGATGCCATCGGCATGTATGAATGGCGGTAATATAAACTGTTGCATTCTTCCATCGTAAATTATGGAAAAAGCTTGTTCTACCTCACATCTCTAGCGACACAGAGTCTTCAGAAACACTGAAACTTTTTATTTTGAATATCGTGCCTATTTCATACTAAAGATGGGTCTCCCGGCGCCGAATTCATCAGAGGAGGTTCTCGAGCGGAATTCGTGAGTCGCTCTTACAAAAGCCTACGACGTGAAATGGCCGGAGCCTCTAAACAAAGTCACAGGGAGTACGCTGTTAGCCATCCAGGGTCCTACCACTTTACAGCTGAAAACTTCAAAAGTACAACCCGAACAATCATTGGTATGATATCCTTAATTAAAGAGTTGTTTCATTGCTGACACAACACTGCATCAGTTACTTGCCTAGACCAAAGAGTCCATGCCGAAGAATTTTGTGGCATTTCCACTGGCGGTACATCTTCCACCAGGCGTAATGCCTTGTTAACTTTGAGAAACTATCTGATATTGTGCGCACAGATCTCCCAGTTGTACGCTGTGCTGGAGGGCGGGCCAGGTTGGCCATAAGTGACATTGCCATTTTGAACACTCTCATTGGAATCAATGAGATAATACTCATCCATCACACCGGTAAGAGAGTTGATATCCTTGAGATCAAGTAGAAACAGAAATCTGATTCGAAACATAGACTGCGGTCTTACCCATAGGTCCACCGACTACATGCGCGAGAAGATTGAAGCCATATCCCCGCTCGAGGCACAGAAAATGGACCTTGAAGATTTAGGAATCATAGAGTAAGTCGGGTTTCCTAAACGAGAATATTGGTATAATGCTTACGCTGAGATGACAGTTTCGAAGCGAGCATAAACAACGATGTGTCTTGGCTTAGAAATCACCCGCTTATAAAGAAGGAGACCAAGATTACCGGCCTTCTCTATGATATCGACACGGGAAAGTTGACTAAGATAGCTAGTCAATAGTACAGCTGCGTTCCTTATTCTAGGTACACGATGCTACACTAAATAACCCTGATTTATATATCCTGTTCTCGCTACTGTTATCTGTAACAAAAAAAAGTTCGTAAACTTCAAAATTACTAACTAATATGACCTCATGGGAACAGCGGCCCGTTGGCCCTGTGCGCTTTTTCCTTGTTACAAGTCCGATACGGAAACGAGGCACTTTTAACCCACCAAGGAAAAATTCGGTATCCATGCATTCTAGATAATTAGGTAGAGACGGCTGTACTATTAGTACTACCTAGTACTTATTGCCAATACGCAATGGCTCCTTAGGCACTGGTGGCGACATCTCGGCATGCATGCAGGTTCTTTCTTGTAATAAGGTATTAGCGGCTTGCTCGGAGTATAATCAAGGTTAAAGACGGTTTACATGGTTAATTGTTAAACCTTTGCTCTGTAATCTATGTCCCAGCTTAGCGAAACGGCCGTCCACCTGAGGTATTGTTGAGTAATCGAGCTCATCCCACTACGCACTCCCATCAGAGAACCGAGCGTCAGATTCCTGCTGGCTTATTACTAATTCCTCCCCTTAGCCGCAGAGCCACTACTACTTATTAGGTATATTACCAATTCCCGGCAGTTTTTGAGATGAGGATGCGAATTTCTTCATATCCTTGTATCATCTTTGACTCCAATCATATCATTTTTTAAATTATTGCTTCGTAGCGTACGATACATTACCTCGTCGTTGAAAGGCTCAATGGACAGCGGATACCACCAACATACGTCCGCAAACACCCAGCGAGAACAGAAGAAGAGGGTTGGTCCTAGACATTCTTCAAAAGTTATATTACATCTAGCTGGCATCAATCCTCTCTTTGACCAGATTCACTGTGCTGATGCACTGCTCGACCCATATAGGACCGGCGCGAACAGAACCGAAAAGCTCAACAAAGATTCCGTGACCGGCGAAAAGCAGCAGATGGTGAACAAGAAAATCGGATAAAGCAACTCGAAAATGCACTTCATGAAACGTTGTCTCTATACATTAGCTTGTCTGACAAGGTCGTCAGCATCGACGGCTTTTCCACACAACATCCCCTTGTGCTGAGTGATCTTCAGCGTTCCATGGCACGAATCTTGGAGATTGCCAAAACATTGGATCATCATCAAGAAGTTTCTACGAAGCCACCTGATGTGGCAGACGGAAAGAAGCGGCGCATTTCAGTCCCTGATGTTGCCTCTATAGAGCCATCATCATCACGTTCCAACAATAGACAATCAGGTCCAGTAAGATCCACCTCAATCGAGGCTGATCCACCATCCAACCCATCTATGCAACAAGCAATCAGCCTTGCAGAAAGCAGTGGCGCTGCTAATAAATGGGCTGTAATGAACGATTCATGGTTACCAACCCAGCTCCGAGAAAGTTTGGAGTTTCGGTCCCAGCCTACATATCAACCAGCATCGGTACAGTGTCAGCAGCTCATGAGGAATCTGAACTCATTTGCGTCTAAATTAGTCGAGGCCACTTTATCTCGAGCGTATTTTGTGCTCTTTCATTCGGGGTCCGCACCTTCTGAAGACGTCCATCGTACTTTTGGATCAACGCTCCGGACGCGGACTCGCGAACAAATATTACTCGATTTGAGATGGTTCCTGGGCCCTGGAAAAAAGGCTTTACCACACGCGTCAGGATATCTCTGGAAACATACAAGTCAAAATGATGCCCCTCTGCGCTGGGCAAGTTACTCGCCACTCGATGACGTTTGCTTCGAGGTTGATTACGATGCTGATATCGATCATCAGCCCTCTGTCCGTCAGCCTAAGCTGCTCACTGTGCTAGGGGTTCTGCAAGAACTTGCGCATCTTGGAGCGAGAGTCATTGACAACGACACTCTCGAGATTATCTTGGACGAACAGCGTTCCTTGGACCCCATGAAAGCACGAAATACATGTACAGTTGAGAGTGGCATCGAGGATCAAACAGTTCCAATGCCAAATAATAACTGCTTCAGCGAGGCCTCAAAAGAGCTGCTGAAACTGAAGCTAAGTGTACCGCAGTTGACTGTGAACTTGGCCCTCGCTGGAACATGCGCCAAAACTGGGCCTGTCTATTCTAGCAATGAGGTAGCCAAGGCTGTGGAAGCAGCAATCATCATGGTTACCAGCGGTTAATGATGATGATGAAATCCATAGGTACCTATCTTAATTGGAAATACACGGGATTGGCTTGATTTCTCAACTCCCGTATGATAGGAAGTATACGGACGAGGGCGAACCCGCAATTTTCATTGCCGAGGATGCGCCCTGCGTGTCGAACTACCGCAACAGGGCGGGATAACGACATTACTAATACGACGCCGATTCACCCCCGATCCTACCCGTAGGTATACATGGAACTTATACGGACAGCTCGAGCTTCAGGGAAACAATTGGATAAGCACGAGGCAAGATGATGCACATTTCAAAGCCAATTGCAGCTGCGTCACGATCGGTGCATATCCTCTCTAGACAATCGCATTCAGTGATAAGACGCGGCTATATTCATTCCCTCGCTGCCCCTCATCGACTTCATCGACCCCTCTGCCCCTCATCCCTTTCAAGCTTACAACTGCTCTCAACAAAAACAACTCCAGCAACACTCACAACACCAAAACTTCACTTTCGTAGAGACTTTTCCACCACCAAAATGGCTCCCATCCCAGCAACCATGAAGGCCGTCCAGATCGCTAAAAACGGCGGCCCCGAAGTCCTCGAATACAACGACATCCCTGTGCCTAAGCCCTCCGCAGGCCAGATCCTAGTCAAGAACCACTTCGCCGGCGTCAACTACATCGACACCTACTTCCGCGCCGGCCTCTATCCCGCGCCCTTCTTCCCCCTGACCATGGGCCGCGAGGCTTCAGGCGAGGTCGTGGCCGTTCACGACTCCGTCTCCAGATTCGCGCCCGGAACCCGCGTCGCCTACATGGCCGGCGGAGAGTCTGCGACTTACGCCGAGTATACCGCCGTGGACGCCGAAAAGGTCGTGGCCATCCCCGAGGGTTTGTCCAGCGAGCACGCCGCGGCGATTTACCTGCAGGGCCTGACGGCGTGGACGTTTATTCGCGAGGCGGGCGAGGTCAAGGCCGGGCAGTGGACGCTGGTGCATGCTGCGGCGGGCGGCGTGGGCACGCTGTTGGTGCAGATGCTCAAGAGCGTTGGGGCCAAGATCATTGCGACGGCGAGCACGGATGAGAAGCTTGCGCTGGCCAAGAAGCACGGTGCGGATTATCTAGTCAACTCCAACGATGACATTGTCAGCAAGGTCAAGGAGATTACGGGCGGTCACGGCATTGACGCCATCTTTGACGGTGTTGGCAAGGCGACGTTTGATGCCGATCTGCAGATGATTGCTCTCAAGGGCCACCTCATCTCATTTGGCAACGCTGTAAGTTTTCACTCCATTGCTGAAACACAAAAAGAATGAAAGAAAAAAATGAAACACAATGAGATGATGAGACAAAGATGAATTAACAATGAATCTCCTTAGTCTGGAGCTGTCCCCCCTGTCAACATCCTGCAGCTCGGTCCCAAAAACGTCAAGCTCATGAGACCCATCGTCAACGGCTACGTCTCTGAAAGGGCAGACCTTGAAAGGTACACGTCCGAGCTCTTTGACCTTGTCATCTCCAAGAAGCTGGAGGTCAACATCCACAACATCTACTCCCTCAAGGATGCCGCCCAGGCGCACATTGATCTGGAAAGCAGAAAGACAACGGGCAAGCTCCTGATTAAGATCAACTAGACGTCTTTCACTCAATCTATAAATAAAAAATCATTACATGTTGTATTTCTTCTTTTGGTATTTGTTCTCTTTCTATCGCCGAGAAAAACGGATCCATTGTCCAAACATCCAATTTCGTAGATGACGCTCATTCTGACGAAAATACTAAATTTGGTCATTCATGTCTATTTTTAAAAAGCATCACATCCAATTCTGCTCTTTTTGTTTCGATGCATTTTTCCAACGCTAATATATCCATTTGTTTTTACGCCTTCTTGATAGCAGCCAACAGCTCCGCCGGCGGCTCCTGTCGGTATCCCTGGGGGTTGTTGCTGACCCACCGCCAGAGGTCCTCGCAGGCCTTCTCCATGGTGAGCTCAGTCTTCCACTGCAGCTCCTCGTTGGCCAGCTTGGGGTTGGCAGTCAGGTCCAAGACATCACCGGGTCTGCGGGCGACGACCTCGTACTTCAAGTCGCGGCCGACGACGTTGCTGAAAGCCTTGATGATCTCAAAGACGGTACTGCCACGGCCGGAGCCCAGGTTCCAGGCCTTGACACCGGGCTGCTTGGAGCGGAGGTAGTTGAGGGCTTCCAAGTGGCCTCGAGCAAGATCCACGACGTGGATGTAGTCTCGGATGGCGGTTCCGTCGCGGGAGGGGTAGTCTGTAGAATCATTAGGATCGGCCGAGAGAAAATATCCATACAAGTTGGTACTTACCCTCGCCAAAGACCAGCAACTTCTCGCGCTGGCCAGTGGCAACCTGTCCCAGCAAGGGAAGCAGGTTGAAAGGAACGCCCTGAGGATCCTCGCCCATGATGCCGCTGGGGTGCGCACCGCAAGGGTTGAAGTAGCGCAGCAGAGCGCCGTTCCACTGCTGGAAGGGCTTGCCCTCCTTCTCCAGGTTGGTGCGCTGGGCATTGACGTAGTCGGTGATGACGTCCTCGATCATGGACTTGGTGCGGCCGTAGGTGTTGGTCGGGCCAATGGGGCAGTGCTCGGGGATGGGGATCATGTCGGGGAATCGAGTGGCATCGCCGTAGACGGTAGCGGAGGAGGAGAAGACAATGTTGGTGACATTGTGGCGGGTCATGGACTGGAGGAGCGCAATGCTGCCGCCGACGTTGACGCGGTAGTACTCGAGAGGGATGATGGACGACTCTCCGACGGCCTGAAAAGAAAGCTGCTGTTAGCTCTTTTGTCCTTGTCACGGCTGGCTTCGTCTGTCTGGTGTCGCATTTCAACTCGCCTTGAGCGCAGCAAAGTGGATGACGCTGTCGATGGCGGGGTGCTTGGCAAAGACCTCGTCCAGCGCCTTCTCGTCGGTGATGTCGACCTGGTAAAAGTCGGGGCGGCGGCCGGCCAGCAGCTCGATCCGGTCAATCGCAACTTTGGACGAGTTGTAGAGACTGTCGACAATGACGACATCGTAGCCGGCGTCGAGCAGGGCTAGAGTCGTGAAGGAGCCGATGTAGCCCGTGCCACTGCGGATTGGGCGCAGAGAAGCATGTTAGTCCAAAAGATTCAGTGCAAAAGCAAAAACATCCATCATGGGCAACGACAACGCTCGCCCAGCTCAACGCAATTCGGCGCAATCAGTCCTCGAGAACGCTGCGTGGGGCAGCGAGGGGCGATAAGCGCGCACATTTGCTGGGCTGGCGGAGCATCGCAGAGCAGAGAATGGAGGGGGAGCCGTACCCGGTGATGAGAACAGTTCCGACAGCCATTGTGGTTGAGCGTCTGGATTGCAGGTGAGAAGTTGCGGTAGAGAAGAAGAGGCCAGGCCGGTGTGAGTGTGACAGCGAGAGTGAGAGGGGGGAGCGGATTTTATTGCTACGGGCGACTAATAATGTTTGTGCTATGGGTGCGGATACGCCTCTTATTAACTGTCTTGATAGGCGCGGATCGACCTGGGAATGACTGGGATAGTGCCGATGCTGGTGGCGCTGGAGCTGGATCCGGCGCTGGAACTGGGACCGGTGACGATCTCGAGGTCCGACCGCTGAAATTGCCAGATACAGAGACAGAGACGGAGGCTGAGCGTGAGATGCTGAAGGAGTATAGCTGGAGAGAGACGGAGACGGAGATGACGCCAGCAGCCGGGGGAGGGGCCGTGAAGCCATACTCGTAGACAGTCTCTGGAGCGCCATGTTTCAGCGGTTCTTTGCAGTGGAACGATTGTATCCAAGCAGGGATATGAACAGAAAGCTTACAGCAGCCCCAAAATAGCCACCGTTGGGCTTCCAATAGATGGCTTAGCTTGCATCGTTTTCCACTGGTTGGCCAGCAAGTGATACGCCAGACGGTAATTAATTCCCTTTGGTGGGGTTATGCGAGACTTGACGGGTATTACAGCCAAACGCGGTGGCTTTCGAGCGCTTCATGGACTTCTTAGCACCAAGACTAGCAATTCTGGCCTCAAGCTGTGTTCCTGGATTTACATGGTTCAAGCTCAAACTACCTGGACAGAATACGACACTGGCTCGTAACATTCCCTGCTGATTACATGATTATATTAAGATATATTAATTGCTCCCCTGCTGCCTGTGATGGTGCATCTTTTTCATTTCGTGATCAAATCATGGCCCTGGTTCAATTGCTCAGCATGATAGGACGAGTGCCTTGGTTGGAAAAATGACGGTGGGCGGTTGGCTGCAGATCAGTGGTGTTTGCAAAAGCTTGCCCGTGCTAAAGATGAAACGCGCATCACCATCAAGACCCTTGTCAAGCCTCATTGCACCTTGATCTGGGTATTACGAGTACAACATCTCCTTAACAAAAGATCGGCAACATATTCAAACTCTATACTATATGTATGTAGCACATACTCTCCTGCATAATGCTTTGTCTACATTACCTGTAGTCTTATCGAGTTGTAAATGTCTTTATCTCCGTTTTCAGCCCTGTCGATTCTTTGTGGTACTAAGGTACATGCAAGTGTGTACTCGCCGGGACCCACGTTACTGAGACATGATATCGCCAACAGTAGCAAGGCTGTGCCGCACAGCTTCTGACAAAGACAGCATGCACGCAATGACCCAAAAAAAGAACGTGGCTGCATTATTATTCTATTCTTTGTTCCGAGTAAAATCGATTACACGAACCTGATTAAAGACTTCCATCAACAAGATGAAAACGTCAACTTGTACTAGCGTGTAACTTGTACTTTGCGCTTTTGCACCTCAATTCTCTGACGCGCACGTGACCCCGCTCAATCGTGCCTGATTCTTCACCCAAAAATGCGCCGCTTAAGCCTCGGCGCGTCACGCTACCGCGCCCTCAGTGAAGTTGTCATCGCGCAAACTAAGCCCAAAGGCACCTCAAAGAGACAAATCCCATCCTCACACGCCGAAACATATTTCTATCTCATCCCTGCATTTCGAAACCTTCTGCAGAAGCTCATTGTTTCCT